CGAGATGATGACAAAGATGGGCATTACATGTTTGCGCTGGGAGAGAATTTAACTTCTCGCTGTAATTACATTCAATCACCATTGAAAATTTTTCTTTACATTCTTTATGTGTCTATTCTTTTTAATGCTGTATTTTAAACTTTCAGAACTTAAATCAATCTGATGTGCTTCCATCTTTTCATTTTTTTCCTCAATGTTTATTTCCAATTTTTGAAAAAATAAATATACTTAAAAGAAAAAAGTTCCGGGACATATTTTTTTGGGACGTTAGGGTTGCTCTTGAATTCGAAAACATATACATCGAAAGAGTTGAAGTTTTTCCTTTTGGTCCCTTTTTGTTCTTTTTTTTTTTTTTTTTCCTTACTGTGTGCATATAAACATATTTTAGTCTTAACAAGTTTAGAATATTTGTTTACATTTAAGACACAACATCTATTTGTTTCTGTTGATATAATCTTTTGTAAAATATTTCCTTAATTTCTTGTTTCTGTACTTGCAGATAAGATTCACAGAAAAATTGGTGAAGGTTAGGTTTCTTCACTGGCTTTAGACCTGTGTCTGGATGAAATTTTGTTTCATCAATCTGTCTTCTCATATTTGGGCTCTTTGCATTATGTAGGAACTTTTGGTCAGGTTTTGGAATGCTGGGATAGGGAAACAAAAGAGATGGTAGCTATAAAAGTTGTCAGAAGTATTAAGAAATATCGTGAAGCAGCAATGATAGAAGTTGATGTGCTACAGTTGCTTGGGAAGTATGACAGAAATGGCAGTCGGTGAGTATTGTTTCCTGATGTGCTTATTTCATTTGCTTCTTAGCAGTTGTAAAATGAAATTTGGGTCAATTGTTAAGTGGCTTTATTCTTTGCAGTTGTGTTCAAATACGGAACTGGTTTGACTATCGTAACCATATATGTATAGTAAGTATATGCTTGATTTTTGATAACATGATTCCCCAACTTCACAAATATTTTGGGGGTTAAGACTTTGTTGGATTTAAATGGTCTTAACAGGTATTTGAGATGCTTGGACCAAGCTTATACGATTTCCTCCGGAAAAATAATTATCGCCCATTTCCGGTTGATCTTGTCCGCGAGCTTGGCAGGCAACTGTTGGAATGTGTAGCATGTGTGTAGTTGGACTTCTGTTGTTGCTCTTATTCCATTCAAAGTTTATAGCAGCAATTGTACCATTCCATAAGTTTTTACCTTTCCTTCTTAATTAATTTACCCATAGTTTCTGCTTTTTTTTTTTTTTTTTTTAAATTTATTTAAAGTAAAGCTTATTCATGTGACATGTATGAATATCTTCTTAGAATCTGTTTGGATGTCTAGTATGATACCATATAGAGGTTGTAGCTGGACATTGAATTCAATAAAAGTGCATCGCTATTAAGTTCTTATGCCTTCTCTGGCTGTAACATTTTGCAGTCATGCATGATATGCGTCTCATCCATACTGACTTGAAGCCTGAAAACATACTTTTTGTGTCTTCAGAGTATGTTAAAGTACCAGACTACAAGGTATGTCCGCTTGTTATGTCATTGCTTTGTAGTTGGTGTTTTCTTTTCTTTTCTTTTTTCCTCTTGTCGCCCCTTCCAATGTCACATTATCAATGCTTTCACCTTTTTTACCTGCATTCTTTTAATATTGTGTCAAATATCCTTGAGTCTTCAAGTTTTTCCTTTGTTGTTGCAGTTTACATCCCGGTCTCCAAAAGATGGAACCTGTTATAAAAGGTTGCCAAAGTCTAGTGCTATCAAGGTCATTGATTTTGGCAGCACTGCCTATGACCATCAAGAGCACAACTACATTGTCTCGACAAGGCACTACCGCGCACCGGAGGTTATTCTTGGTATGCTAATATTTGCTCTCCTTTTCCATTTAATCATTTCCTTTTTGAGTATTTGTTATTAATTTGTATTTTAGCATTCATGTGATTGTTTATATTTACAGGTCTTGGATGGAGTTATCCATGTGACATATGGAGTGTTGGTTGCATCTTGGTAGAATTGTGTTCTGTATGTCTTTAATTGCATTGGTTTGTTTGCTAAATTTCTGGATTATATCAAAGTCTATAAAAGAAGTTCTGATGAAAAAAAAAAAACAAATGCAATTCTTTTCAGGGAGAAGCGTTGTTTCAGACACATGAGAACTTAGAACATCTAGCTATGATGGAGAGGGTCTTAGGTCCATTTCCACAGCACATGTTGAGAAGAGCAGAGTATGTGCTTCTTGAAGAGTTTTATCATAATTTTGATATATTAAGGTTCAGATGACGTTTGTTCGTCTGTATTCACCACCTTCTCCTTTGCTACTTTTGTATTTTTTTGGTTTAGCCGGCACGCTGAGAAGTATGTCAGGAGGGGTAGATTGGACTGGCCAGAAGGTGCAACTTCACGGGAAAGTATTAAAGCCGTTTTAAAGCTACATCGTCTCCAGGTATATAGAATTTGTACTTTTTCTAAATATATTAAATTCTTATGTTTCGAAACATGTTCACGAACATTGTTGCAGTAACACTTTAAAGTCAACAAATTTATTTTGTCTTTCGCAGAATATAGTTATGCAGCATGTAGATCATTCAGCTGGGGATCTCATCGACCTCCTGCAAGGTCTCCTTAGATATGACCCCTCCAATAGGCTAACTTCTCCTGAGGCCCTCAGGCATCCGTTCTTTACCAGGGATCATTTCAGGAGGTTTTAGTGCCAAATTCATTCTTGCAGTGTTAGTAGGTTTAATCGGAGTGCATTGTGAAGTTGTGCATTTTTGAAGAGCGGGGTTGCTTGCTCTCCTGAATGTTGTTATTTCTTGGCATACACAAGCATAAAGTGCTGGCCAGCAATTCTCAATTTCTGTCATTTCACTTTCGGGTGAAAGCTTCTGTAAATATCCTCTGTCATAATTTACTCCTTCGATTTTGTACCATGAAAATGAAATGTAACAAGTTTCCCATACAATGAGGTGATCCGCTTTCTGAATAATGTTAGCCTTCACCATTAGCATGTGCATGTGTTTGTTTAAGTTTTCTTAGAAAATGAACATATGGCTGTTACATTCTACTGAATAATACTGTACTTCACATATTGCAATAAATTTCGTTTTTGTTATCTCTTATGAATTTTTGCAAGTGGCAAATTTTGGACTGGTTATATTTTTGCGTCTCGATATTGAATTTTGAGTAGGGTTTTGAATGATCAGATTCTGAACAAGAAGAGAAATTACAGTACATTACAGCTAAGACACATCAAACCTGAAATTCAAGTACCAGACTATCAGGTCGTTGGAAAAGGAGTGCTTTCACTTATCAAATGCTCGAAACGTCAATATAAATGCTTCCTTAGTGTACGAAAATCGAAACATAATCTGAAAATAGAAGAAAATGTAGATGAAAATCCAAATGCTTCCTTAGTGTTTTGTCTTGCATTTTCTACTAACCAGAACCCCATCAGGAGGTCTGGTGAACACAACTTTGCAGTCACCATATAACCAATAAGAGTAACGTAGGATATTTCCAAAATTAGCACGTGCTCTGAAAGATCCCTTGACTTCAAAAACGGCTCTATTGGTCTCCATCTGCTTCTGAAGCCTTTGGCTCTCTAACAATCCAAGACGGACCTGACTAACCACCATATGAACATTTGCAAACATGGACTCTCTCTTGTGTGCAGAAAAGGGTTCTATGTATTGGGTAGCAATTAGGGTATTTCCATAATAAAGATCAATGATCAAGGAGCTGAAGTCCACGCTCACCTTCTTGTTTGGATTGGTGAAGTTCGCTAGCACAGTAAGGTCAGCATTGAGCAGATAGCCCATGTCAAGGTAGGCTGCATTGAGGGTGGCAGTGGAGACATCGAATTTCGGTGTCCGGGGGCGAAAAATAAGATAGACTATGAGAACCACTAGGCCTCCTATGATTATGATAACCCAAAAAATTGCACAGAAGATGGCTAATGACCATTGAAAGAGGTTGGTTTGTGGAGTATGTGGCCTGAGCAAGCCATGCGAGGGAGGACGCTGGCCATGTTGTGGCTGTCCTCGTGTAACATGTCCCCGAGGATGCAGTTGGTCTTCATGATCATGGCTTGACAGTGGCAGGGTTTGCTGGCTCTGACGCTTTGCCGGAGGTTGTGGGTCTTCATTATCTTGGTTTGCAATGGGCACCGGGGGGACTAGCGGCTGGGTTTGCTGGCCTGAATGGTTTGGCTGTGGATGAGGATGTTGGTCTTGAAAGTGTGGATGGAATGACACCAATGGACCTAGTGGCCGAGAATGCCTGCCTGAATGCTTTGGCCGGTGACGACGGGCTGGCTTAACATCTGGTGGTGGTTCAGGGTGGGGTTGTTCAGTCCAACCGGGACCGAGGCTCACAGGGCCGGAGTGCTGGCCTTGGTGCTGTGGTTGTTGCAGTAATGGAACAACAGGAGGTGTTTGGGGATATTGGTCTGGACCTTGTGGTTGAAAGGGTCTGACAAAATGAGGGTTGGTGTCATCATGGGTAGGCATGGTAGCATGGACAAGTAGTAAGCAAGGAAGAAGAGCTGAAGATCGAGGGATGAGGAATAATAAGGAATTGGAGTCCAACGGGGAAAGAGGATGACTTGAAGAAAACTTCAAGGATGATTTTTGGAAAGGCAAAGAATCAAACGTAGTTAAGCATGGGAGGCAAGTAATCTTGGTACCAACTTTTTTCAAGTGGTTCTGTTTCTGTATTTTAGAGTGGCTAGGCTGGGCCAATGCGAACGAATACATTATACAGGTTCTCCACCATATCGGATAGATTATCATCGGATTTGGGATACCCTTTACAAAAGAGATTAGAACGAACATTATCACCCCTTTTTTATTTTGCTGAATGAACAAGAAGAAGAAAAAATGCCACGCTTTGTTTGGGGTTTTGGGGTTCTTTCCCCCCTGTTACATAAAATAAAAAAAATTAAAAAAAATATTGCCACGCACAACTCGAAAGAAAAACAACAAAACTGAAACAAAAATCCAAATACTAACCACTAAAATCCTGCTTCTCTTTGTCAATAAACAACTCAATGTTAAATTGTTTATGACCACAGAACATCTTCACTCGTTCAGAGAAGATGTATTGTGATTCAGAGTCGAGCTACAAAAATGCCACAAGTATTGAAAAAGCAACTTGTCAGCACTTCCATTATGATTGTAATAATTAATAGTCTATTGTAATAATTAATAGTCATTCGTTAGAACTTGTAAGTTCTCTCCACTTTCTTCCATCCTCGACACTCCAGCTTGGCAAAGGAAACCCGAGCTTCTATGCTTTAATCCGCTTTTATTCAGAGCAGGACATGGCCATAAAATTTAGCAGCTCTTTCTTGTCAATCCCTACATACAAAGGAAGAATACAATGGCCTCATTCATAATTCTGCCTCAGTAGACCACACCTAACCTCCACACCTCCCTCCAAAGAGGAACACAAAAAAAGGAGGGAATAGTTGCAGTAGGTGGCACTCACTGCATATCACATAAGAAGCCATACCCATGCCCAAATTTGATCAATAGTGTTCTCACGCTAACGTTCTCAAAATGGATCTGCAGCCTCTGCATGTCAGCTATAATCCCAAGAATGGTCATTGTGCATCCTAAAAAATAAAATATGAAACTTTATAAGGGATTTAAGCAGCAGAGAGAGACATTAAATGAGAAGAACAAGGAGCAGAAACAATATGAGAATTGTTACTTGCATGTCATTCAGCATATTCATATCCTAATGTCTAGGAATGCAGCAAACATCACAGCAGAGACAACAGAACACACAAATTATTATCCCTACTAACCTGATACTCAGACTGACAAAGCAAGAAGTCAAAAGCAAATTCATGAGCATTAAATGTGACCACTTGCATCATCCCATATTATTATTACTTCAAAAATAAAAAGACAATCAAAATTCTAGATTGCTTCAGAATTATATTGGTAGATAACGCCTAAGACTAGACATGCACCTAACACTTGAGGGTTGACTTCATAGTCCAGAAAGTAAAAGGGATACCACATCACTATGTAGTTCTGAAATCTTCATAAGGTGTCTCTTTTGTTTATTTTCCTTAGACGAATTTGGAGAGATTAACAAGGATGAACCAACCAATAACAATGTGCTCCGAGAAGAGAATCAAGGTAACCAATTACCATGAAGTAGTCTGGTTCTTGCAAACCCACTCACATTACCTCATACCTACTGTTCTAAACAACAGCAGTATCAGGTTATATGTATGTATTACAACCAACAAAGAAAAGAATAAAGTAGGTTAAAGTACCATTTACCATTGTAAGGAGAAAGAATGTGTCAATTTAGGGAGACAAATCGTACAAGGATAAGCATAAAGCTCTGAAAAACATCTGGCTCAAAAAAATCCAAGGTCCAATCCTGCACAGCATGAGCATAAAGAATATTACTGGCCGATCACAAGAACATGGTGAGAAGACATTAAAAAAAATGAAGGGTACAGATTTTTGGAGACAATTAATAATGAAGCAATACTAACTTTAAAGTTGGTGCCTCAAATAGAATACCGTAACAGCAACGAAAAATTTCACTGTTTCAGTTTTTCATGGGATGAACTGCGTCTTCATAAGCACAAGACAAATGGATATATTCAGGATATCTAATTTTCTATTCAGCACACAATGAAACGGTTAAACTGCCCCCTTTTCCATCTTCCCCCAACCCCTCACCCAATCCCTTCTATACTGTTTGACACTCACAAAACAGCAATAAATTCATCTATAGAATACTCATCTATAGAATACATACAGAAATAAACAAAAGCTCATAAGCTCATACCTGAGTTCTTTTGCAGCTTGCCAGAAAGGGCACAAGATAGAAACAAGACCAGGCTTGATGAGGTGTAACCGTCAACTAACAAGTGCCTCTAACAATGGACTCTGCAACTCACCAAAAAATAAGATAGCATAGTCAATATCATACCATTTGTAACAACTTTACACAAAGCTACACAACCAACCTCACAATCCACTACACCAATGAAACCATCTTTAAAAGTAAAAGCGGTTGGCAGCATCACAGGTTTAACGATTCATCAATAATAAGAACCAACTTATAGCACTAGAAAATAAGAATCAATATAACTTCAGTGGTGCGAAGAAAAATTAAATATGCTATTGAGTAAATGGAATACCAGCGCTGCCAGTGGTGTAAATAAAGCTTTTAAATACTTTCCCATTAACAAATCATTCAAGTAAAACACTTAAGCTACTCCATAAAAATAGCATGGCACATATGGATACATGAACAGAAAAAATACAAGGGTTTATATACCATACTGACCATTTTGCATTTTCATGCCATCTTTTGAATGGATGGCATTAACCAGTCTCTCAGAGACAGCTCCATCAAGAGTAAAGCCCTTCTCCATCATCTGATCCCATACCCTACAAGCCACTGAAAGCTTATTTTCCCTTATGAGACCTCCAATTATCAATTTAAAAGTTACCTCATCAGGACAACATCCTCGATTCTGCATTTCCTCATAGAGATGCATAGCTTCACTCACTCTAGAAGCCTTGCAAAGCCCATTAATAAGAGCATTAAATGAAACAGCATCAGGGGCGATGCCCTTCTCTAACATATCACTGAAAACACTATAAGCCATTGCAATCTTCCCACTCTTACATAGGTGATCAACTATTGTAGTGTAAAATATCCGGTCAGGCAACAGACCCATAACTGTCATCTGATCAAGAAGCTTATTGGCTATATCTGAACTACCTTCTCTTAAAAAAGCTTCTATAAGAATAGTGAACGTCACCACGTCTGGCATGGTGCCCTTTTGACCCATTTCCTCAAACAGTTTATAAGCCCTTCCAGTACGGTGTGCCCTGCAAAATGCTGTGATGATGGTATTATATGACACAACATTACACAGCCCCTTTGGCTCCATTCTAGTCCTCATCAACAAATATGCCTTATCCGCTCTATTAGCTTGACAAAGGCCCTTGAGAAGCTGATTGTAACTATGCACGTCAGGTTCCATACCACTCCTCTCCATTTTCTTCATCAACTTCTCAGCCTCCTCCAACATGAACTCATTACAACAATAATTCAATAACACATTGTGAGTAACCAAATCCGACTCGCACCCATTCCTCTTCATAAATGACTTGATTGCCTGTGCCTTATCAATTCTACCAGCTCGACAAAACCCATTAATCAACGTATTATATATCAAATTACTAAACTTGACTTGACCCTTCATTTCACCTATTACAAGGTTATATGCCAAATCAACCTTCCCACCATCACACAATCCAACAACAAGCGCTGTACACGCAATATTATCGGGCTTGAACCCTTTCCTAATCATACTAGTCCAAATATCAACTGCCTTATCAAATTGTCTAGCTTTACACAACCCATCAATAAGTATAGTATATGATACAACATCAGGCTCTCTTCCTTTATCAACCATCCTATGGAACACTTCCAGAGCAAAATGTGCCCTATTTTCTTGGCACAGAAGATTCAAATATATATTGAAAGCCCAAATGTCAGGCACAGCCCCAAGCCTATCCATGTCTCGAATAAGTTTTTCAATGAGAGTGAAATTTCTGATCTTGCACAGCCCAGAAATGAACCTAGAGTAAGTAAATGCGCTTAAAGAGAAGCCCTGTGGCACCATTTCGTAGTAGTAGTGCTCGGCGAGATCGTAACGCGAATGGCGGACCAATACTCCGATGAAGCGATTGTAGTCAATGCTAAATACGCGGCAATCGGAGCGGGTCATTTCGTCGAACACTTGGAGAGCTTGATCGATTAGACCAGTTTTCACGTAGTAAACTATGCGACTGCGGAATATGAGGCGGTTAACGCCGAGACTGCGATACATATCAGAGTGAATGCATAGCAAAGACCATACATACGAATAGGAACTTAATGCATAGGAAGGTACGGTATCAGGCAGACAGAGAAATCAAAGCCTAAAACCCCAAAAATGGTGAGAGAGAGAGAGAAGGGACGAACAGGTACAGGTAAAGCTACAGCGGAAATGAAATTGCTACCCGAAAATGGTGGTATAGCCATTCGAGAGAAGGTATAGCTAAGCTATGGCAGCTGCCAAGCCCACCTGGTTTCAGCAATGGAGATGAACTCAGTAAGTCGCGGGCAAGAGAGATGGGTCGAGTAAGTGGCTGGTTTTGTGGGCCCCATGCCAAAACCCAATGTATTCTAAACTGGGCTTCAGATTGGGCTGCCTTACTTGGAAATTTAGTGGGCTATATTGGGCTTTAGAACATTGACTTTTTTTTTTCATTAACGTTCTGAACTTCTAAGTGGAAGAATTCAACTTACAATCTCTACCAATATATTTTCTTGGATATTGCTTGCCTCCTTCTCTGTAAGGAGATACTCCTCCTTCTCTAGAAGGAGATACTCTTCTTTCATGTGAATCACAGTTTGACACATATGCAAAAAGAATTCATCAAAAACACAAAAAGAAAAACTTATGCACGCATATCACACTACTATTGACAAGAATGTAGGAATTTCTACTTACAGAGTAAGAAGGGAAGTAATTGGTACTTAAGTTATCAAGTTATTTAACTTTAACTTTAAGACTGATGTCACATGTCTGTAGTAGGTTGTATTAGGGCAATCTCGTTTGCTTGCAATTAGTTTTAAAACGATAATAAATAAGTATGTTATATGTACCATATTTATTAACCATAACCCTAATACGGTTATATTCATCCTCATATTATAGTCAAAGTTTGACTCTTATCACTTTACATATGCGGAATTTTCGAAATATATCTTCAACAATATAATATACATACAAATTACAATGTCATATTCTCTTCTAAAGTATTTTTTTCACTTGGCACTACGTTACAAATAAAAAGAGGTCGTCCATGATTATGATTATATTAGACACTTATTCCATCATCCCAACTCACACACAAGTGGAAAACCATGCTTCCATCTTATCTACAATTTGGACAATCTTCAAGTATTAATTTTGTCACATATTCTCAGAAAAATATATCTTAGAACTTAGAATTGATTGGCTCAGCATTTCCTAGGAGTTATCCATGACATGATATGTAGTTTTATTTGTCCCTTTGTTATAATGAGGCCACCAGGGTTAAGTTAAATGACCACTACGAAATACAAATACTACTTTGAGCGGGGGACCGGACAAGAAAGAAAAAAAGGCAATTTGATTCTTTATTTTCTTTCTTTCTTGCCCACCTTTTTTGACCGTTATTTTTCTATCTTCTGCCAAAAATTATTTATTTATTTCTCCTGGTGCAACCGACGTTGACTGCAACTGTAAGAGTCTTGCGTTCACATAAAATTATAATGCACGTCCATTTCTCAACCCCCACCCCCCCCAAAAAAAAAGAGAAATAAAAAAAGGACGTCGGCCATTTTTGTATAAATGGAGCACACTGGACAAAACATGCCACTTGATTGAACAAACATGCAGTAGGGTTTGTTAATTTTGTCTTAATTAAATCCTTGGTCAAATTCAAACTGCTGCTGCTTCTTCATCTCAGTAGGTTAGAAAAATGTGAAGCCCCCATACAGCACCGTTGTTGACCAACAAGGCTTTGTTTTGGTCACTTATATATTTTTTACAATTTGCCATGAGAATAGAACCAATTGGCACCTCCTAGCTACTTGGGTTTATGGAGTTTTGGGGGCTTATGTTTGGGGCTTCTATAAATAATGACACTTTTTTCTTCTTGTTTTCTAAGATTTCGGTTGGGAATACTTTTAGAATAAATTATATCAATTAATTAGCGGCAGTCTGAGAAAAGCAAAGAACAAAAATAAACCTAGATCAACAAGTCATTAGTTTCTGTTGTTTACTGTTAGGTTCAAAGATTGATCCATCGAGATATTGTATTAGATCAAACTACTAGAATGTATGACTAGGAATTATAGTGTTTTATAATGTGATTTGAATGCTTAATTAGTTCCTAATCTCCTTTCCAACTTTCCAGCCATCTTTGGATGACTTCTTCATCTTTCTTTTTTGAAACAAAACTACTAAAATACACAAACATATTTGAGTGCAATGTTTGAAGAACTTGGCCCTCACTATAGTATAAAGTGCAATATTTGATATTTTACTTGTTTCTGAAACTGAAAGCACATGTTACACATTTTCCATGCCTCTTAGCTCAGCTAAAAATCACTTAATTAAAACTTTTGATCAAACTTATAAAGTAAAAAACCACTTAGAGTATTCACTTATATCATAATAGTCTACAAGACTACCGAGACTTGAAACGGTACCTAACACAACACTATTGTGTCCGGATCCTCTGCTCTAATTTTCTCTGTCATGATCTGCTTTACTTTTGTTCTCCATACGCCACCTTATTAAAATTTAATATAAGGGATTTAAAAGTTGACACATCATCCTAAACAAAAACTCAATTTACACCTAATTAAAAAAGATAAAAAAAACATGACACCTAACTAATGGGATATTTAACGTCCAAAACTCAATTTTCCTCCTTGCTTCAAGTTTTGTCCTCTTCTCTTTATTTACGTTCGTATTCATATTACCTTAGCTTTGGTTAGTGTGAGTATATTGGCAAGGCTACTGTGAAGACGTGAACTTGAAGTAAGCAGGATTATTTGGCATGCATTTCGTTTTCCTTCATCCCTCATACATACTCTTATTTATTGGTTCATGCTACATATGCTTTCATTTATTGGTCTCTGCTGCATGCGTTGCTTCTTTCGTTTTCTTTTTTGGTTCCTATGTCTGCAACAATTCAAAATTTCCCTCTTTCTCATTGAGACTAGCTAATTGGTTTTCTGTGTGTGGCGCTTTGAATTGGATTTCAATTAATGTTTTGGTATATCTACCTCCATCCTTCATTTTTAATTTGTAAATTTAAATTTGACTGTTATCATTGTATGATAGATTAACATTATTATATTTGTTTTATAGATTGAGAATGAAAGGTTCGGTGGCTACAATTTGTGAAGATAATTTAGATTAGATTAAGTAAATTTAGATTATAAGCCCATACGTGATATGGAATTTCTTTCAAAACAAGCTGCATATGAGTTTTATAATGAGTATGGGCGAAGAGTAGGATTCAGTATTAGAAGAGATTCACATAACAAGAATAAGAATACTGATCAAATAATTTCAAGAGTATTTGTTTGTTGCAAGGAGGGTTTTCGACCGAAAGATAAGCGAGATTATTTAACTAAAAGTTCTCGGGCAGAAACAAGGATGGGTTGTAATGCTAAAATAGGCATTAAGTTGAATAAATCTAATGGTAAGTATTGGGTTAGCCATTTTATGGAAAACCACAATCATCCTCTTGTAAGACAAGAATGCACTCATATGTTACTGCCTCATAGAAGAATATCTGCTTCACAAGCTACTGAAGTAGATTTTTGACACAAGAATCTGGCAAGGAGAGGAAAAAAAAAGAAGAAGAATGACATAAAGAGATAAAATAAATAAATTTTTTAAAAAAAAACAGAAGGTGAATAAGAAGGAGAAAAAAAAAAAACAGCTGGACTTTAACTACTGTTGGTTGGGTGTTAGAGGGGTTTTTATTTTTTTTACTTATGAGTAAATTGGGTTTTTGTTTTAGGATGATGTGTCAACTTTTAAATCTCTTAGATTAAATTTTAATGAGGTAGCGTATGGAGAATAAAAGTAAAGTAGATTATGGCAGAGAAAATAGAGCAGAGGATCCGAATCCGTACCACTAACGTATTTAAATACCATGCAATAATTTCTACAAATATCCGCTATAAATATAAATGATTATAAATTCATGTATTCCCCATAATATCGGTCTGAACTCTGAACTATACATACATACATAAATGACATCACAAGACTCGACATGCATGCTTGTTTTGTTAGACCATTCGTGAATGATGGCGTGGCAGTTTGACCCATTCCTTCTCCAGTCTAAAAACCAACCCGCCAACAACCCCAACCAAGTGACTCAGTCCAACTCGTTCTCTCCAAAATTCAGTCTCTTCCTATCTTTCCCTTCTCTCTGTCTCTATGGGGATTCAAAGTCTGTCACAGACAAGCACCAAGCGACCCTTCAGCTGAAGAGATATTTTTATTTTTCAAAGTTTCAAGTAAGTCTCTCTTCAAAAATATCGACTATATAATTTTTAACTAAATCCCATTAACTATTTTCTTCTTGTCTCTATTGGTAGAATCTAGGCGCCCCACTTGAGCTGAGCTAGGGTTTACTCAGTCGTTTTCGTGTTTGAATTTCCTTCTTAATCAACTGTCTAGATTGAAAGCTGTAACCTTTACTCTCAGAGAGAGAGAGGGTGGTCAAGGGTTTTAGGTGAGAAAAAGAGCAGAGAGAGAGAGAGAGAGACAGATGCTGAAAATTCAATACCATGCTATTTATTCCAAAAGTTCAACTTGATGGCTTCTATGTCATTTCCCGGAAGAATCCTTTAATGGGTACCAATTAGTTTTTAGAATTGTTGTCAAACCACTTTGAGATGTTAGGCGAAGAAGAGAAAAACCGGCTAGCCGGAAATACCCGGAAAACGTATTTGCGGTCGGTGTCGTGGTCTGACCGCTCACCCTCTAAACCTAACAATCCATATCCAAGGCCACAGCTGAATAGTAAAGCGAGGTCTTGCCTACCTCCACTTCAGCCCCTTTCAATAGCTAGGAACACCGTTCAGGAGTGGCCAAGGGCGGGTTCTGATGATCTTGGGGTATGGCCTCAACCCCAAACCCCAAGAGGATCAGTTAAACCCCTTCCGAATTTGAACCCAGAACAACCTGGGAGAGAATTTGAGTTTAAGAAGGATAAGCTTGCTTTTTTCGATAAAGAATGCTCGAGAATTGCTGATCATATATACTTAGGAAGTGATGCGGTGGCTAAGAACCGTGAGGTTCTGAGGAAGAACGGGATCACCCATGTGCTCAACTGTGTTGGGTTTGTTTCTCCCGAGTATTTCAAGAATGATCTTGTGTACAAGACACTTTGGTTGAAAGATAGCCCGTCGGAGGACATTACAAGTATACTCTATGATGTGTTTGATTATTTTGAAGATGTTCGAAAGCAAGGCGGGCGAGTTCTTGTGCATTGTTGTCAGGGAGTGTCTCGGTCAACTTCTCTGGTCATTGCATACCTCATGTGGAGAGAGGGCCAGAGCTTTGAAGATGCATTTCAGTACGTGAAGGCTGCCCGAGGGGTGACTAACCCAAATATGGGTTTTGCTTGTCAACTCCTGCAGTGCCAGAAGAGGGTACATGCTGTGCCTGCAAGCCCAAATTCCATGTTAAGGATGTACCGGATGGCCCCGCATTCATCATATGATCCTCTTCATCTCGTGCCAAAGACGTTAGGCCATCCAGGTGCACAAGGACTTGACTCTCGTGGAGCATTTGTTGTGCATGTTCCATCGGCTTTATACGTCTGGATTGGAAAGGATTGCAACACAATGATGTCAGATAATGCAAGGGCAGCTGCCTTTCAGGTCATCCAGTATGAGAGGGCAAAGGGTCCGATTGTGGACATCAATGAAGGTGAAGAACCTTTGGAATTTTGGGACGCTCTTTCCAGTGGGGTCTTAGCAGAAGATCACAGCAAGGCAGATGTGAAAAAGGTAGAAACTTTTTCTTCTGGAGGCGATAAGGTTGCTGCATCTAGGTGTGTTCCTGTGGGTGAAAGGAAGGTTGTTGAATATGATTTGGATTTCGAAATTTTCCATAAGGCAATTGCAGGAGGGGTTGTCCCACCGTTTTCAGTATCTAATACTGAATCAGAAACTTGCCTTCCAGCCAGAGAAAATGGATGGGGTAGATTGCGGCAAAAGTTTGCTAGGGGCATTATGAAAGATTTGGTCACGTCTTCTGAGCTGAACTGTAACACTAGCCCATCCAGTGATGAGTCGGATATGGTTGTGGAAACTCATAAAGAAGCAGAAGACCCTGTTTCCCTGATTGAGCCTTCATCGCCATTATCAGCATCACGCCACTTTCGTAGCTCACCTGATTCCTTTGAATGCTTTCCAAGTAGCAGCCCATGTAGGATACGAGATACTTTTAGAGAAGTAGAATGCTCTGTTCCTTTTACTGAGAAATTATCATTACCTACAACTCATTGTCGTTCACCGGATTCTTTTTCTTGTTTTCCTGACAGCAGTCCTAAGTTCAGCTCCAAATCCCCAACACTGTCCCCTTCAAACTCTGATTACTCTAGTTCATTTACCTTTTCACCATCATCTTCTAATTGGTCGGACTTGTCATGTTTGTCTTCTCAACAGCCTTCACCTTCTGGCTTGGAATCTACGGATCCATCTTATATTAAGAATATTTCTTTGGCAGATAACTCAAGCTTACTTTTCAAAAAATCTCCTTCACCTGAAGAGACATTTTCTGCTAATTTTACTTTGGAAGTGGCAAATTCATGTTTGCCATGTAAAGGGAATTCCCCCTCTCTTGCAGAGCGCAGAGGGAGTAATCCTCCACCTCGAATGTTGGTACCATCAGTGGATGAATCGCCTGAAGTTCCGAGGAATTTGGTACGATCATGGTCCTTCTCTTTACCTGACATGGGTGATGATGCGATGGACTCTGATGGCAACCAATCTGAAAATGAGAGCAACAGAGAAGAGCAAATGTTAGATGTGGACATTGGTAACCCTGAAAAGGAATTGCAATGTGAAATGATCAGCCAAGCTGCAGAAGTGATCAACCCAGTTTTGTACCGTAGGGCACAGCTTCCTTGATCGCATGGGTTTGCCTATGAATGCCCCTGTACAGGTATTTTGCTTTGCCCATTTTTTCTTTGTTTGTTCTCTGTTTTTCATTATTATTAATTTATTATTGCTTAGTTACTTCGGAAATATCTAATCATTATATAATTAGTGCACATCCTTGAATTAGATTGGTTCTATAACATGTTGCATAGCAAATAAATCAACTAAATCTAGCATCATATAAAAATCTCTACCAAGATAACTGTTGTTTAATTCTTGTTTTCTAAGTTACAGTATAGTTTACAAGTTTTTTTTTCTTAGAAAATATGCCCAACCTCTAATATAGGTATGCCAAAAATCTAATATGGTTACACTCCCCTGTGGTTTCGCTTTGTAATTTCCTTTTCCGCATTAAAAAAAAAAAACTCATTAGTTGGTTTCTCTTTCTATTATTTGATGTTTGTTGCTAATCTATTTTCTTGGACCATGTTGATGATTATTTGTTGTTTTTATTTAACATACACTTAAAATTGATATCCGGTATCTGCAGGCATGTTTAAAGCAGAAATTGGAAGGATTTGGGTTCATGATCTTCCAAGCCAATGAAGGAATGTGGGGATGAAACAGTTGCAGATTTTGCAAGGGGAGTTGGCATCCCGGCAGTGTAAAGTGTTTCATATCTGCTTGTGCGATGTTGTGGAGTGGTTACAGAAAATATGTACAGAGAACAAATCAGCTTTGTGCTGATAGGAATTATTTCTACATTTTTGTTTTCAAGGCAGATTAAATATTGTCACAATTGAAATAAGTGAATTAAGTATATTTGTTCCTCCTGTACAGCACCGAAGGTGTTGCCATTTAGGTTGAAATGAAAATCAAACTCATATTTTAAGATTGAAATTGAGAAAATGGGTATTTTTATGATGGGTTATTTGTAGCAATGGTCCCTCAACTATACTCGGAGTTACATTTTGGTCACTCAACTCAAATATTAGTTGTAGAGGTCACTCAATTGGGTGTTGTGTTGCATCGTTAGCCCCTACCGTCAAGTCTCTCAAACGGTAGGGACTAATGGTGCAACACAACACTTAATTGAGTGACATTTGTAACTATTTTTGGAGTTGAGTGACTAAAATGTAACTCCGAGTATAGTTGAGGGATCATTGCTACAAATAATCCTAATTGAAAAGTCGCATTTGCCCATCAATAATCTAAGAGATGTTTGTCACGTCATCATTTTAAACAAAAAAAATCACAGACTTGACAGTAGGGACTAATAGTGCAACATAACACCCAATTAAGCGACTTCTACAACTAATATTTGAGTTGAGTGACCAAAATGTAACTCCGAGTATAGTTGAGGGATCATTGCTACAAATAATCCTAATTGAAAAGTCGCATTTGCCCATCAATAATCTAAGAGATGTTTGTCACGTCATCATTTTAAACAAAAAAAATCACAGACTTGACAGTAGGGACTAATAGTGCAACATAACACCCAATTAAGCGACTTCTACAACTAATATTTGAGTTGAGTGACCAAAATGTAACTCCGAGTATAGTTGAGGGATCATTGCTACAAATAATCCTAATTGAAAAGTCGCATTTGCCCATCAATAATCTAAGAGATGTTTGTCACGTCATCATTTTAAACAAAAAAAATCACAGACTTGACAGTAGGGACTAATAGTGCAACATAACACCCAATTAAGCGACTTCTACAACTAATATTTGAGTTGAGTGACCAAAATGTAACTCCGAGTATAGTTGAGGGATCATTGCTACAAATAATCCTAATTGAAAAGTCGCATTTGCCCATCAATAATCTAAGAGATGTTTGTCACGTCATCATTTTAAACAAAAAAAATCACAGACTTGACAGTAGGGACTAATAGTGCAACATAACACCCAATTAAGCGACTTCTACAACTAATATTTGAGTTGAGTGACCAAAATGTAACTTCGAGTATGGTTGAGAGACCATTGCTACGAATAACTTTTTTATGATTGAAATTGAGAAAAGGTTCATTCATTGATGTACCTAGATGCAAGCTGAACCAGTTTTTCTGACTCCTTATTCTAATTTTAGAAGAAGCTTATTAATTAGCTCATTATAACTAGCCATTGGCAAGATTAGGGGCAAGCTTTGATGAAGTCGTCAATTAAAAACAAAACCCATGACATGTGAGACAGAGAGAGAACCTTGATAAACAACCAACGACCTCACATCGCATTACATACACCTCAAATAGTATTCTTTTACAACCAGTCGTATTCTATTTCTTCCGTCAAAGTTCCCAAAACTATGGACTCCAGCTGATCTGACTGAGAAACCAATAGGAGACATCTTACCCCAATGCTATTAGGGATCTTCCTTACAGCCCACTTTGCGTTCTTAAACGAGCCACGACTGGACCCAATGCGCTACCTCTCAAGCCTCTATATGACCATGAGTTCCTTACCGAGCCCTCATTTCTACTCCAACCATCCGACTGAGACAGCTCTGCCTTCTTGGCATTCAATGCCTGGCTGATTTCATCCCATGCGCTTACTTTTCCATTTTCTACAAATGTAAACAAGAATGCACTATACATGTAAACGAATCATATTCAAAAAAAATTATTAAACAGATTCTGAGCATGGAAATCCAATTAGTACCTTGTGGTGCAGCACGAATTTCCATGTTATTGTTGAGCCTGGGACCTGATGCAGCATTTTGATCGCCAGTGACTGCCTTTGCTGTGTTCGGGTTGCCATGCTTGACAATGCGGACATCAATAAGTGAAGAATAATCTACCTGCAAGGATCATTACCTGTCAGATGCTAGCAATCAAAGATGTGAAGCAGTTGTTGACAGCCACTGCTAGGTGGAAAAAAGATGGCCGTACATAACTACAACAAGGGCCGCAGGATACCAATATTGGCCATCAATATAACTAGATCATGCAAAAACCCCAAGCCTCAAAATGAAATGTGAAAAATTTAGTATTGGACCAGGGGATTGATATTTCATACACCAGCCGTGGAGTTTCAAATGTCGAGCGGGGGTTAACCGCCATATGAACTTGCAAAAGCGAAGGTGGAAGAATATACATTGGATGGGAATGCAAATGGCAATTGCAAATCCACCTATCTGTGCAGTTGAGCCTCCACCACTAGTGTATGAAAATGTTAGCCCTAATCGAAGTTGAGAGAGAAGGCTGAAACCATTTTGAAATTATTGCTACATTATAATAGTTCTAGAGAGACCGCACTAAAAGTACCTCTAGAGAGCCATCTTCCCCGTAAAGGGATGCATCTGGTAGTACATCAGATGCCTCATCATCTGTCTCCTCAAAAACAATGGGATATCCTGGAACCTGTACTAGCATAATCTTATTTGATTGAGGGTCGTACCATGACACTTTTCCAACCTACAGGGACAAGTAAATCTTTTATGGTAAATTTTATATCCACAAAGAGTTAATAGACATTTAAGAGAAGAAATACTCATACACGGTATGAGGAAACTTCAGGGGTCCAGCATGCTGATAATTCAATCAAACGATATGCAATTTGATCACCTTCCTGCAAGACATTAAATGCGAAAGGATTGAATTACTTGATATGGAAAACATTTTACAGGGCTATCTGGCATTATATCAATTTATTCACTCCGAACGTGCTCCAGAATATTAACTAAATGTTCAAAGACATTCAAGAAATAATCAAGCAGCTAAAAGGTGTGATAGTACAAAGCCAACTGCCAATAAATTTATTTCTTTTATTGTTTCCTACAATGAGGGAAACCAATATCCATGAAAGCAAAATGAAAATTAGGAAAAAAACAAACCTCAGGTAAAGTGGTACAGAGCTCAAGCTGATTGAAGTCTATGGGATCATCTACAGGAATCTCTTTTTCACTACCCAATGTTTCAGGCGATTCTGGGTTCAGATCTTTGTAGTCACTTTTTCTTGAATGTGGTGTTTTCTCCATACCCCATTTTTGACCCTTCTTCTTGCTGGTTATTCCATTCCACTGAAAAGTTTCCTGAAGCATGCAGGACATACAATTATAAGTTTGGAACCAATAAATTCCGAAACCAAAACAGAGTGCAGCATGAAAATCATGGACCTCATTGGATTAAGTCATGGATGTTTAAAGAAGAAAAACATACCACTGGGGTTCTATTCTGCTGAATAGGATGATCTGCATCCACTGGAACAGGTACATACATCAGATAATTAGAGTCACAAGTATTTCTTAATCTAGCACATGAACTCATAAAATAAATTGCTAAACTCAAATGCCATAAGTAATTGAACTGTACATCGGAAGATTCCGATACACACACACCTTTTCCAAGGTTTTCAAACCGAATGTGCCCAGGCCTAATTACTACAGGAACAATGTCATCCTCTTTATCATTGTCTGTGCTTGGTTGCACATGTACTTCATTATTATCTGTTTTCGGTTGCTCATCCCCTTCATCAGTATCTGTGTTTGATTGTTCATCCTCTTCACTGTCTGTGTTCGGTTGTTGATGTTCTTCAGGACATCTCTGATTACTTTTGCCAGACGATTGCTGATTATCTGGTTTGAGCAATTGCCTCTTATTGAGCTGGAAATTGGAACAGTACAGCCAAAATATTAGTTCAGGATAAAAAGTGGCCCTACTTGTGAAAAAGCAGATATAGTTACTTCAGAAGACCCACTTAAGATGAAGAAAAAATACACCTCAAAGGACATATAGGTACTGCAATATACCAACTTATGATGGCAACCCCCAAAATTTGTACATACGCAACATTCATAATGGGCAGCTGAATATTTTTGTGACAGACTTCACTATTTTCAGTGATTGTATACACATGTGCACGTGTGGATGCATATGTGTGAAAGAGGAATCTATATCTACTTATCATTAATAAACACCACATTACCTCCTCCTTCTCACCCTTCAATTTTTCCCTCAACCATTGCCTTTTGGCCTTTTTACGTCGAGCACTTCTACTAGGAAACTGATACACAAAAAGACAAAAGGATTTCACAAATCTAAACTTATAATTGATATCAGAGAAATGCATGACAAAGATTCCTTTAACAACATCAGAATCTCCATGTTAATCAAGATATGCAAGCTGTGGCAGTCATATATCTTCGGCCAAATTTTACTTCCTGAGGTAAAAATTCTCTGGTAATTACAGATGCCAAAAACTATATTGTTGCAAATTAATACAGTAAGATGACAACAACACATACAATTCAGATAATGGTGGCAACTAATACCTTTTTACTTCCACCAGGTGTATCAGATGAAACCACACCTTTTACTTCCTTCTCTTGAAGCTGACAGGACCTATAAAGCACAATTTACGGAAAAGAATAAATGAGCAAAATGGAAAGTACTAGATGTTTACAAAAATTTGGCAACATAAAATTCCAATAGCACGATATAGCATGGTTTAGTTCACCCAAACCTAGACTAAAGTGTAGGACTTAAGAAACATGCATAAGAAATATTGCATGTCGTCATCATATAACAAGGCCAAAACGCTACCTCTTTCCATTGGACGTAGATTTACATGTTTTATTGGTTCTTTTATCAGTTTGAGGGTTGCTTAAATTATCCAGTTCATCCTCTCCAGCAAATGACTTGTCCTTCTTGGAACGACTCTTTCTGGGGAGGACACGAGACTGATGCTTCTCTGCATGGACATCATTCTGAAGGTCTTCTGGAAAACCTGAACATTCTTCAGTCGTAGCAGATTTAATTCTCTTCCTCCTGAAAGATATAAATGTGGTCACATCACATACCTAAGAAACCAATGTGTACATAACCACATAGCACACAAAGCTTCTATGTACTAAGCAAAAGATGCGTTGACCGCATACAGTTGCAAAATCACCAGATAAATCAAGTAAAATACATACTTCGAGCTCTGAGGTTTATTTGAAAGCTTCCTCTTCTTGGAACGTCTGCTTGAACCGGTCTCGGGTGCATCTTCTACAGTCAACGGATCTTCCAACTGGTAAGGTTCATCCTCCTTTTCAAATTCCTCATTAGCCAGAAGCTTTATACCTGTATTCAGAGGCCGCCTCTCCACAATCTCTTCTATCTCAAGAGAGTCTGTCCCATCATCAACCAAGGCAATTTCAGACAATGTGCCCCCCTTCCTTTTCACACTGTGTAAAGAAAAAAAAATTGAAAATACGCACACCAAATAAAACCACATACTTTGATAATAGAAGTGTAAACTGACCTGATAATATCTTTATCCCTGAAAATGGAGGTGGACTCAAAAGGCGGTAACACAAACCCATCCATCTGCGAGAAACCAAAAACAGAAAACTTTGAGTTGAAATTGCAAAAGGAATTTCTTTTTGTTTGAGAATTAGGTTAGGGAAAGGAGATGCTTACGGAGATGAGAAGCCCATCGGGGCAAGAAGCGTTGAGGTCGAAAGCGTGAAGGAGATGGGCGGCGAGGTCTGAGATGGTGCGGTGGTGAGGTTTTAGTAGAACCCAGCTTCGCTTGAGTCCCTCTGTCTTCTGTGACTTGCTCAGAATGTGGCGCTCCTTGAATGTGACGCGAAGCCTCACACTCGCCGTCATCGTCGTCATCAAAGCATGAGAGAAACTCAGAAACAGACGGTAAATGGATCCTCTAGCTTCTTAAACCCTCGGTGGGGTTTTCAGAGCTCTCTGCTAACAGGATCCTCCAGCTGGACAGTTGTTCTGCCAGTGATACTGGGCCTGGGCCGCTGGTTCATACTGGGTTTATAGGTTTCTTATTTTAGAGTAATGATTTCCCACTCCAATTTTATCCACTTACACTCCTTTTTTTAATTATAAAATAGAGTGTAAGTGGATAAAATTGGAGTGAGGAAATCAACACTCTTTATTCTCACTCTTTTAAAAAAAAAAATAAATTATTATGAGAAGTACTATTACTATAGTACTTTTTTTCAGAAGAAAAAAAAAAACAAATACTGTAACTATAGGAATGGGAATGCAAAAGAACACCATATGAATAGGAATGGTGGTTGTGAGATTTTGCTGAAGATGATTCCATTGCAATGTAGTATTGGAATTATTACATTTGTTTACATGTTTTTTATGCGAGCGATAGTCTAAATTACTTTAAATTAATTTAATCAAGTGGGAAAGTAATCGAACTTAGATATAATGAAGCAGTCTCACTGCCTTGATTAACTGGTCCAACCCACATCTACTACTTATTTACATGATTTAGTTAAAAAATTGAGCCCCACAAAAAAGAAAAGAAAAAGTTAAAAAATTGAGAAAATTTTGTAGCGGATAAGCTGGGGTTTTTGGGACTTGGCAAATGAGATGATTTGCTACATGTTTGATATTCCACCATTTTGTTGAAGATTTGTGTAGGATCTCTAACCCATGTTTGTTTTTTTTTTGTTCTTGGTTTCAACTCTCCTTATAATTTTTTTTACCAATTAATTTAGAATAGGGAATGCCATTTATAAAATTATAATGTTGTTTGTAATTAACCTAAGTGAAACATATGCTAAATTTGGCTAAAAAAAAGAAATAAAAAATCAAGGAGAGAGAGAGAGGAATGAATGAAGAAACATGAACCACTACATTGTGTTCAATAAGAGTGATATTGAGAGTGACCATGGCGCAATGTGTCAAAAAGGAAGATGACCCCGAAAGGCCAAAGCCTCATTATCTACCAAAGACGCAGGGTTTAAAGCTGCACCACATTTCTTGCACGAGCTTTATCTCCTTGGCTCAAAATGACGATAAAATGCCCAATAATCCATTTATATTTTTTCAGTGGCTCTGCTGCTGCCATTGCATTTCCCGTAGTGCCACATAATGTTCTCCCTCTCTCTCTGATCACTCATATTTATGTGTCAGACTACACTTGTAAACTTGTGAACTTGTGCTGCGTCTCCTTTTCTTAGCAGAACAGAACATACCTGGCTTTTCCTTGGCTGCCAAAGACTTCGCCGCCACCCCTTTTCTTAGAGAGACCAACCCAACTTCACAGGTAAGAGGCTTCTGATTATTTTTCCTTATTTTTCTCTGTTATTTTGGACTTTATTGAACCCCCAAATTCATAAATGTTTGAAAGTTTTTGGCTATAGTTGAAAGTTTTAAAAAAAACTGACATTTATGAATTTGAGTGTTAAATTTTGGCTATTTTTGATAAAAACTCGTTAATCTTCTAAATGGGGTTGATGGTTTTTTTTTTTGGTCGTTAACTTGACGTTTGATTTGTTGGTGAAGATCTGTGATCGTTGTCTCATTGGCCCTTCTGTAATTTTTAACTCTTAGCCATTCTCATCGCTTCTTTTCTTAGTTTTGTCCACTTGGGATGTCGTTGTTTGGGTAATTCTGAAAAAAAAAAAGACATCTTGTGTTATATAATCTTTAGACTTGCGATTTGATGTCTCTGATTCCGCTTGCTCTTATTGCTTTATTTCTTAAATATTAAATAGCTTTCGCAAATTCAGGTGTGATTTTGCTTTGCGTTGCATTTAGTATTATAATCAGAATGATTCTTCCCTCCGGTGAACTAGTTTATAATTAATATGCAGTGTTATTGTTTTGGCTAAATGAGTTCTCGCTTGGAAAAACATACTGAATTTAGAAATAAATAATGAGTTCTGGGATTTAGGTTGGTTGATGAGTGGGTCGATATTCAAATTCCTATCTCCACACCATAGATTTTATTTTTTGAATTTTGAATATTGGCTTTCCTTGTCGTTCTCATAAATGTTTCTAAAATCTTCAGGTTGTGTACATAAATTTGCTGCCTTGCCTTCTCCTTGTATTGGGTAAGACCTGTGTAAGAAGGTAAAACTATCATCATGCCCCCTAAGGCATTGGACTACGAGTCACTGAATGAGAATGTGAAGAAGGTTCAATATGCTGTTAGAGGCGAGTTGTATCTTCGAGCTTCTGAGCTTCAGAAGGAAGGAAAGAAAGTATAGATACCAGTTCCCTTTGGGGTTTTCTTGGCATTCACACTTGGAAAATTGGCTTGCAATGCTTCTGACCTGTTATCAACTTAACTTATATAGTTTCTATATTTTCACAAATGTTGGAAACCCTCATGCTCTAGGACAGAAGCCACTGACTTTCCCTCGCCAGGTCATCATACTCACTTTTTTCAGATTGAATTGTTTGAGTTGCTAACTCAAGTTGCCTACAATACTTATTTTGACCAAGCAAATCTTCTGGTACAGGTGGTTGCTTTATGCCAAGCTCCATTCCTATTAGATGACCCTAATGTAGGACTGATCTTCCCTGCTGATGCAATTTCAAGAGCTAAACATTATCTTTCAATTACTGCTGGTGGTCTAGGTATTCATCTTACATGCCTTTCATGTTATGTTATCATGGGAAAAAGGATTGGACTATAATCACACACCTGCTAAATAATCTCGATGGGGCTTTTGAACTTTTCTTGTTTTGTTCAGAAGCGAGATAAATTTTTTATGTTATGAATAGTTGTGGCAATTCTTAGGTTTTCCTGAATTTGTTTATATCTATTGTTGTACCTTCTAACTTGCTATTGCTGATATATGTATCTTCGATTTATTTTTAAAAACATGACTGCTTGATCCCCGTTATCTGCAATAAGCATAGCCGAGAAGTTGTTCCATAGGTTTGTGAAAAGTTAAGAGCTGCACTTATGAACTCAAAATGAACAATTTTCCTGCACGTTGTATATCTAGGTGCTTATAGTGATTCCCGAGGTATTCCGGGAGTTAGGAAGGAAGTGGCAGAGTTCATTGAGAGACGTGATGGATATCCAAGGTGATGGTTGCTAGATATCAAGCCTTATTTTTTCGGTTTTTTTTTCAGAGGCAATAAAGTTGTTAATTTGGTTCTGAAGTTGTGACTTAAGGTGTTTTATTTTTGTGGCCCAATGACAGTGACCCAGAACTCATATATCTCACTGATGGTGCCAGCAAAGGTGTGATGCAGATCTTGAATACCATCATCCGTGGTGAAGGAGATGGGGTAATGTAACTTCCTAAATGACACAGAAAAATTAATGTCCTCATAAATAGAAAACAGAGACGTGTATAAAATATTCTCTTTTGATTTAAGTTCTTGTTTTGGGTACCACCAGGTTCTGGTTCCAGTCCCACAATATCCACTCTATTCGGCTGCAATATCTCTGTTTGGTGGTTCTCTTGTTCCGTATTACCTTGAGGAAACAGCAAATTGGGGTCTTGATCTTAATAATCTTCGCCAGTCAGTTGCACAGGCTCGCTCTAAAGGAATTACTGTTAGTATGCTTTTCCTCTGGCTTGTTTATGGAAGAATGCAGGGAATCTGTTTTGAAACTAAGACTAAACTAGATGAATGGATGAATAGGAGCGGCCCACAATCTGAATTGGCATTTGGCATACCCTTTAATATGTTAACTGTTTAATCTTCAATGTGTGGATTTCATTAAGTTTAGAGTTGTTTTAGCATGCCTTAGGAACAATTTACTGTCCAACATTCTCCTCTTTACCTCCAGAATTTAGTGTTAAATGTCAGTTTCTTCTTATTCCTGCTTTTCAATAACAGTAGCGGCTATATGTCGTGCTTTTTACTACCAACTAAATCTGTAGTGCAATACAATCAGGTGAGAGCAATGGTGATTATAAACCCCGGCAACCCCACTGGTCAGTGTCTTAGTGAAGCTAATTTAAGAGAAATATTGAACTTCTGTTTCCATGAAGGCCTAGTCTTGCTCGGGGACGAAGTTTATCAGCAGAATATATACCAGGATGAACGCCCCTTTATTAGTGCAAGAAAGGTAAATATTCTTGAGCTTTTAGAATTAACTGCATGAGCCTTTGCCTGTAGTTTCAGCTGAAATAAAAAGTAATTCTTTAATCCTGACAATACGTGTAGGTGTTGATGGGTATGGGGCTACCCATAAGCAAGGAAGTCCAGCTTGTTTCTTTCCACACTGTGTCCAAAGGATACTGGGGTGAATGTGGACAGCGTGGTGGGTACTTTGAGATGACAAACATTCCTCCACAGGTTTGTGCCTCCATTAAGTTGTCTACTGACATCGCATACTTTTCCAAACATGCTTCCGACTGTCAGCATTAATGAAGTTATGTTCTTACTTAGTGTTGCTGGCCATTCTTGTAAATGCAACATGGTTCTGATAGGGTTTATGGTTTAGCATTTAGACTTGAATAAAAATACAAGAATGGTATAAAATTTGTGAAAGGAATGGATTAAATCAAGGAGAAGATTTGATCTACTAGAGGCCTCCTAACTTTCAGATTAGTATATGTCAGCAAATACTCAAACTATTGAAGCTACTTTTTTGTTGCCACATGATAAAATAGTGTTCTTGTTTGATGTTTTCCTTTCAAATTAATCTGACCCTTTTGACTTTCGTAGAATGGAATGATTCAAACATCAGCATGATTCTTCAATTCAGTATTTAAGCTCCAAATCTCATTGTTATGTTTGTTTTCATGATATCATGTTGCAGACGGTTGATGAGATATATAAGGTTGCATCAATTGCACTCAGTCCAAATGTTCCTGCACAAATATTTGTGAGTGAGCACTAAATATTTTATGTTCTGCTATTCTATGTGGAAGTTGACACCCATCCCTCTGTCCGAAATTGTTTATCTAATTTAGAAAATTACTCTGTCTATTTACAGATGGGGCTAATGGTCAACCCTCCCAAACCTGGAGATATTTCATATGAGCAGTTTGTTAGGGAAAGGTATGCCCTCTAAAAGTATAGGTGAATGTTTTTACTCCTTTAATTAATTGGAAACTGGACTGTAGAAACCGATCTGCTTTTCCATGGTTAACTTAATCGCAATCGCTACTTAGATTGTTGCTAAGCTTTCACGCAGCTTTTACCATCATTTTCATGTAAAGGATTTGATCTATATGAAAACCTTTCGAAAAGTATCATATACTTTAATAATAAAATAAAAAAATTTAAGCCCCATAATCTTCAGATACAATGAACCAAAATGATAATTATTGGTCTTACTTTTTTATCAAAAAGTAACAATAAGAAGTTCAGAAAAGGGTTAGAAATTTGGAACATTAGTAATGGATGAATGGTGACAAGAGATGTCTTCTTGAAGCAATAGATAATGGTGATTTTTTAATTATCAACTTTGCAGCAAAGGGATCCTTGAATCTCTGAGGAAAAGAGCAAGGATAATGACTGATGGATTTAACAACTGCAGAAATGTTGTCTGTAACTTCACAGAAGGTAAAAAGCTGTTTTAAATAAATATTACTGGTTCTTACAACTCTTTGAAGTTCCTTGATTTTTTATGGCTGTTTATATGAATTGATTTAAGGTGCCATGTATTCCTTCCCTCAAATACGCTTGCCACCAAGAGCAATAGAGGCTGCTAAAAGAGCTGGAAAAGTTGCTGATGTTTTCTACTGTCTCAAGCTTTTGGAAGCCACTGGCATTTCCACTGTCCCTGGATCAGGGTTTGGACAGAAAGAAGGGTAATAAATTTTCGCAATCTTCCATTCTAGAGTATGTATGAATCTCTGATGCATAGAGTCTATTTTAGTAAGTTACACTGCCATAGAAGAGGGACACTATTTAGTTATGTTTCTACTAGCTGCAAATAATGCAACAGTTTGTAATCGGTTTTTTTTCCTTTTCCCATGCAGGGTCTTCCATTTGAGGACAACCATCTTACCAGCTGAGGAAGACATGCCTGCCATCATGGATAGTTTCAAGAAGTTCAATGATGAGTTCATGGAGCAATATGAAGATCACAGAGGCTATTCGAGGATGTAAAAATCCAGCAAATCAAGTTCTCTCATATCTCCAGCTTTTGATGTATAATACTCTGCAAAACTCTCTTCTTTTATCTTAGGCACCGAAATTACTTTCACCTCTTAACATATTAAATGTCTCTATTTATAACTCTGCTCTCCAGCCTCTAATGTAAATTGCAGTAAATTGCAGAGGACTGAAAATTCCAACTTTTAAGCTAGAATGGGACCAATAGTGATGTGACACTTCATTAAAGCCTTTTACCCTACTCTTCATTTGGGTCCATTAGCTTTTGTCTTTCTTTTTCTACTCTCTTGCTTGGCTAGTGTGTGTGTGTGTGTATATATATATATATATATATGTTTTTTAATCTCTCCAAATCCAAACCCATTGAGAATTTGGGACATTGCATTTTGGTTTCTTTATCTTTTGAGGTGAGCCTACCAGCACAGTTGCCCTATGGCTTGGAGGAACACAACTTTTCTCTTTTCCTCCATCCTAAAAAAAAAAAAAAAAAACTTTTATCTTTTACATGGGAGTAAGTACTGTTTTGTGTTTGTGTTAAAAGCATGGAGGAATGGGGACTCTGACATCTTAGGTTGATCTTGATATGTCCATGAATTTTATGTGACTTCAATCAAAAGTCTATGAGCATCGAATATGGAACTTGGAAAGGTTGATTTTGGATGTGAAAGTCAGTACTTGTTTTTCTTTTTCTCTTATCTTCTTTTACTTTCCTTCTTTTCGACAAAAACAAACAAGCTGATGCCCAGAAATATTTCAATTTTCATGAAAATGGTTCCAAGTGTAGGTTGCTAAATTGCTCAAAATGGAGTCAGATAAGAAAAATCAAACATGTACTAGAGACTAATATAGTTGTACAGATTGAACCTTTATGTCTAGTCACCCATCCAAAGTTGAAAGAAACCGTGTGGAAGACTAGGTTTAAATTCTAAGGCCACAAACCCACAACCCAACCCTGCTTTTGTGTAAAGAGTCCTCCTTTTTTTACTTAGAAGCAGCGAGTCATTCTTTCTTCCTTAAAAGTCAAAATTTGATGTATTTATACAGAAATAAAATATAAAAAGATACCACAAAATATGTACACATTATGTGTGTATGTGTTTTTTATTATAACAAATTCTGATTTGTTTAAAATGAATTCAAGATTTTTTTATTTATGAAAACTCATATTTTTATTGGTATTTAAAAAAGAAAATACAAGTTATATTAAGAAGGGATGAATCAAATCTAGAACTTGACCTACCAGTTTTCTGCGTTTATGATGTATTACAATTGGACACGTCATCTGATTATGTCCAGCATATCTATTTTACCATTATTTCCAATCAAAGAAATAAAAGATAAAATGGAAAGTGGCACGCAACCAAAGATAAAAACGGAAATACAAGAGGGGCGGGCGTCTATAAAAAGAGGGGAATATTTGAGCAACGTTGGTGATCCCCAGACCCCATATATTGGCGCCAAAATCCAAGTCATTCCCCCTTCTGCCCCTCACTCACCGTCGGAGCAGCGATCCTCTGCCCCCGGACCACCCTGCACTCTGCTGCTCAGGGAGACAAATAAGTGCATGCCCCACCCTACCACGCCAATCCCACATGGACCCCACACTCATGTGGGCTGTGGCCCACCACCTCACCACTGTAGCCCGTCCGCGGACCGCGGTCACCTATTTCCACGGGCACCCCTTCACCTCATCCTCTCGTATTTATTTTCTCTTCCTCTCATTAATTTAATTTAATATTTATTACTTTGCTTATGTCACGAGTTTCCTGGGGTTCTTTTTCTCTCTCTCCCCCTCTCTCTCTCTCACTCTCTCTCTCTCTCTCTCCTCTCTGTGACTCTATCTCTGTTAGACTCTGTGACTGATTTGAGTGATTGGTATAAACAGAACATCGAAACATTACTCTTCCACATTTAAAGCGCAACCTTTCTCCTCCCTCCCTTTTCTTTTTTTTTTCCTTTCACTGAAACACACAAACCAAAAACCAAAAGCCTCTTTCCAGTTTTCATCCTCCTCCTTTTTCTCTTTTACCAGACTTTTGCACTGGTTTCATTTTATTCCCTCCTCTGTTTCTTCATCCCCTTTACGCATCAGAGAAAGAAAAATAAAAAGAACCCATCTTTATTTATTCGATCCTTTGTTCTCTCCTATAATTATCTCACTGGGTTCGCTTCAATTGGTCCACAAAGAAATGGGCTTTTCTGGGAAGTCTCAGCCAGCTCCTGTGGACATAGGCTTGGATTCTGAAACTCAAAAATGGGTTATCGCCGGAATCCCATTACGGGCTCCGTTGAAGCCGCTGTACACAAACCCCGTAGAGACAGAACGGGATCACGGCGGCGATGACGTGGAGGAGTGTTCGACGACCCCGACGGGTGAAGAAGCCAGAATTCCGACGAGGCTGACGTGTCCACCTCCTCCGAGAAAGAGGAAAGCAGCTGCTTCGAAATGTAATTATGGCGCTGGTGTTAGGGAGTTCTTCACTCCTCCCGACTTAGAAACTGTGTTTATACGCCATGTTGAAAGGGCCAATTGACTTTGGAATTGCAAGTTCAAAACTTTTGGCTCCGTTAATGATTTGTTTCTTTTCTTTCCTAATCTTTTAGTTTTTGTTGCGTTTTTTCGTCCCTATCCTTTTGGGTTTTCACTTTTTCATTTTTAGTCTGCAGTCAGTCATGATCTTTAGGATCTTTGTATTGGGAAGGTAGCTAGCTAGGAGATAATTATGTATAGGTAATTATTATAAATAAATAAAAGATCGTCAATCTTAGCTTTATTGGTTAATGAACCCTCGTTTCATTTGCATGCTTCTTATTAATTTGCTCCGAGTTTCCTTCTTCTGTAGACCGTATCTGCTGAGTGAGAGATTGCTCTGTTTTCTCGTCTCTTGTTCCTCGTTCAACTTTGATATCTTTCTTTAAGAGTTTATTTTCTTCTGTTCATGATCATGCGCAGCTCAGGCATGACAAATCGCAGTCAAAATGTTGGTAAGTAAGCATCCAAAAGTTGTCAAAATCAACAATAGAGGGCAATAAATTAAATCCCTTTCAATGGGTTAAAAAGATAAGGTGATGCAGTTCCTCTGTTCCTTTGGCTGACTGATCGACTGACTAACCAAAACTGTGCCCCACAAGAAGCCTTTGGCCATGGCCCCAGCTGGGCTTTTCAGCTCTGCCATCACCTTCCCTTTAGACTTAGAGTTTGGTCTATGCATGATCTAAGTGCCCCCACACGCCATGACTGAAGACTGAAGACTGATGACCGCCCACCCACCTCGGACTCTTTATTATATTAGTGGGGAAGGGAAGGAAAGGGAAGGTTCTCGCTTCCTCTCTCTCTCTCTCTCTCTCTAGTGCTATTCTGATAGATAGCTCTCATGGTAGAAGACAAATCACATGTGGAAGTGGAGGGAGGGGAAAATTAGGAGAGGATCCTATGTGAAGTTTGAACGGTCCTTATTATTTAGCATTTTCTCAAGCTCAAGTTTTGCAGCACCAATAATTGAGGAACGCACTTATTCTATCTGAATGTAATTTAAATGGATTAAAGTTTGCATTTTGCAATAGAATATAGAATGTTCATGGAAAAAGCAAGCCAATTGTTTTCTAGGCTCATAGCAAAAGTACATACTGAAATAAATAAGCGCCAATAAGCGGTTTCACCTAGGGGAGGTTTTCTTGTGTGCATGGATTGAAGTTGAACAAACAAAGGTGGATCACAGCAGTCTCTGATACAATAAGGTTGCAACACGTCTGTTTGGGCTTAGACAGCAAATGCTAATTGGGAGGAGAAAACACTTGTGTGAAACATGAATAACACTATTTTACTATTTTTGATCAATCAGGTGACAACTGAGGATAACAAAACAATATTATTCCCGTTTCATACAAATTTTTCTAAATCGGCCAGCGTTTTGGCATCTACATGTTGGATTAGATTTCTTATTATTTTTATTGTGTTAAATATTAAAACCCCCCATTATTGGAGACCACATGTATACGGAGTGGATTAAAATTGTAACCCTATCAACTTTGCTCACTTCTATTATTGAAAAACGACAAGGGAACGAAGTATTATTAATGAGTGATTATGCTAGAACGTGCCAGAGAGACCGTTTAATAAGTTACCAAATGTTTACTTAACCCGAACAAGTGATTATTAATACACTCAACTAATCACGATTCACAAAACAGCAAAACCCTACGTCTTTATATCTAAGTTTTTATTCATCACACCCCCAAAGTTTTGACTTTCAACAACACATCAAGCCATAAAAGCATATCCAAAAACCAGATCAGTATGCAGCTTCTTTTAGTTTTTAATTGTCAATTTGTAAAACAGTCTATGTGCAGCTGATCCCTGGTACACTGAGCTGAAAGCCTCGAGATCTTTTTGTGGGGGCGGCACATGCCACCTTCTGCGACCAATCTCTTTCCTCGAAATTCACAACTTTATGCGTAACTCTGATTAATATGCTACGAAAATTATACATAGAAAAACTCAGTGATTGGGTGGCATGTGGGGGGCCAATTTCACTCTCTGGCGACAATGGAATTAGTACTTAGAATTCATGCTTCAAAATCTAGCAACATTTTTTTTTTTTTCTTAGTGGGATTTGGGAGCCACCATCATCACCAAACAAAATGCGCAATCGTCTGCATGTTGGGCGTGGCAAACCCTCCACCGGCATGTTTGACTCTCCCCCCATGCCCATACAAATCTTTGGTCATACATGCACCATTTTCGAGTCCTACTTTGTTGGTATTTGAGACTAATTATAATAATGTGAGTATGTAACTCAATAGGGCATTAAGTGTAACATTCAAGCTTAATAAGAGGAAGGCGTCAGGTTTACTTGCAACCAATGAGAACAACACGACAGGGAAATATTTTCCATAATGACTAAGGTGAGCTGTAGCTCATGGATGTTTTTTAGTGGAAAAAAAAATAATATCAAACCTATATATTTTGCTTGTTTTAAATAAAACTCAATATGTATTAATCTGATAAAGTTTAATTTTTTTTATAAATTATTTATGAATTTAGTTGCATTGCAGTAATAAATATACATATTGAAATAGGTACACTTTCAATTTTGTTGTTGAACATATTTTCATTTTGATAATATATTTTTGTTGTTGCATTTAATATGTATTTGTTTTATGTTAAATTTTATTGAAAACTAGTCAATGGAGCTATGAACTAACATGGTTTATATTATTTAATGTACACTTTTATTTTTACAAAGATGGCTTGGTGGCTAAGTGGGCCATCGTTTGAACGAAGTTTTCCAAACACTTGGGCCTGAATAAACCCAGCCGAAGCCCAAGTAATAACCGAGGCAATCAACAGGCTCGCTCCTGATTGGCCCATATTTAATCAAATGAGCAAAAACATCCATCGACGTTGTCGGACGGCCGTGACTCTGCAAATGGATCGGTCTGCGAGACTGTGACTCTGCAAATCCTGATAAATGGAGATGACATGGCCAGGCCGATCGGAGGGCCGTCGTTTCACGTCCTTTCGGTTATGGAACACCAAGGGTAAAAAGCACCACGAGCTCCACCCGACGAAGCACAGCAATCGAATGTCCGGCAGAAGAGCATCGTCCTCATCTTCAAAGGACGGTCGCGATTTCTCGGCGCTGCCGTACGAATTGATAATGATAATCGGGGTTTCGCTGAGCCACCCGAACCTCAGAGCGGCGTCGTTGGCGTGTAAGTCGTGGTACGAGGCACTTCGGCCGCTGAGACAGGCGATGCTGTATATGAGGTGGGGAAAGCGGTTCAAGCACGGCCGAGGTGGGGTCCAGCCCAACATGGACAAGGCTCTCGACGCGTTTCTGAAGGGCGCGGCTCTGGGGTCCACCATGGCTATGGTGGATGCCGGGCTTATATACTGGGAGAGAGGCCTCAAGGACAAGGCCCTCGCTTTGTATCAGAAAGCTGCAGACCTGGGAGACCTGGCTGGGAAGTGCAATTTGGGAATTTCCTATCTGCAAGGTTTGATTTTCCCTGGTTATTTAGTAGCAAATGTATTGCTTGTCATAGTCATGATATTGAAATTTAGAGGCTTTGAACAGAGAGTGATAGAAATTTGATTCTTGTGGAATTGGAATTTACTCATATATCATATTCGGTTTCAAATTGTACATTTGCGAATCCATTAATGTAAATTCTTGAATGTTATACCTTTATGAGCTCTTTTGCTTATCCACGTCTATAATCCAAGTGTTTTGGTTGGTTGCTTTTTATGTACTTTTAACTATCATTGAGAAAAATAGTTGCCCTTCAGCTGGTTAGAATGGCTAAGTAGGATCATTGAAGTTGCCCCCAAATCAAATTTAAGGTGAGATTCTAGAACTTACCCTGTTGATTTGAAGAATAGTTAATGTAATTATAATGAAGAACAATAGTTTCAGATGATTTAAGTTTTACTTTGTTAATGCGTTATGAAATAAGATGTTCTCCCCCCCCTCTATATACATAACTTTGATCAGATTATTTTGAATACACTAAATATAGGAGCGTGTTGCACATGGATTTCTCTTCAAATGCTTTCCTTTCATTATTTCCTACAATCAATACATTAGATGCACACTTGTAATTAAATGGTGGCAATTTCTTTTTATATGATGTTGTATGATATGATAGGCAGAGTTGGATTTCCTTTCATCAGGAAGTTTTTTTGTTTGCATTGAGTGTATAGTCTTGTTTGTGCGTATGAATATTATTATCTGTGCAGTTGAACCTCCAAATCCAAAGGAAGCTGTAAAATGGTTATATCATGCATCCAATGAGGGCCATACCCGTGCCCAGTACCAGCTTGCACTTTGTCTGCATCACGGCCGTGGGGTTGATCGTAACATAAAAGAGGCGGTATGCCGTTATATCCTAACGAAATGCAGTTGCATTTTGATTTCCAGCTATAAAGTCAGCTATTCTGAATGAGAATAGCATTAGGATTGTCTGCTCCTCTATTGGCCCAACGTACTTCCATATTCAGAACTTTAATTCGGTAAGTTTTCTTTTCTTCATACAGGCAAGATGGTATTTGAAGGCTGCGGATGGTGGTTATGTGCGTGCCATGTACAATGTATCACTGTGCTACAAATTTGAGGAAGGGTTAGCGCGCAGTCATCGCCAAGCAAGAAAATGGATGAAGAGAGCAGCCGATCGTGGCCACAGTAAAGCTCAATATGAGCATGGACTCGCTCTTTTTTCTGTATGTATCATTTATTGCATTCATGAAGTTATTTTTTTGGCGGGAGCCACTGGTTTGATTGTAGGGCCAAATAATCTTGCTGCCAGGATTCATTATTCTGCTCTTTATGATATGTGGTAACACTATGTTGATAGAAACGAATGCCATTTGTATACCTGTTAAATATACCCTTGTAGCATTTGTATCATAATTTATTCCCATTTAGAAGCAAGAAAAAAGGTACTTTTATTGTAAGTATTTAATTTGTTAAGGTAGGCAGATGGAGGTTTTTAACGGTAATATCTGCAGGAAGGAGAAAAGATAAAAGCTGTAGTCTACTTGGAACTTGCTACCCGAGGTGGGGAAAGTGCATCAGCTCATGTCAAGGATGTGATTCTTCAACAGCTTTCAGAAACTTCACGTGATGATGTAATGCTTCTCGTCGACCAATGGCGTGCTTTGCCCTCATCTTCCTGATGGTTGGAAAATCATCCCTTCAATTCATGCAACCGTTTTGGGCTGTATAGTTGTCCTCTTTCTGATGAGTGATGGTAGTTTCTTATATTAGATATGGAGAAGATCTGTATATTTCTAGAAGTGTTGTGTTATTAACAGCAGTTCTTGTATGCACTTTTCTAAAAATTTGACGTGATTGGCGTAGAAGTATTACTGTTGCCAGAATACCAGTTTTAGTTGTGCATGCTTATTAGTGCTATTGCACAAACTTTGCAATGTTAACTTCGGAAGAGAGTTAGTAATGATCTCAAAAGAGTGTGATCAGGGAATTACTTGTGTCTATAGACGTTTTTCGAAGTCCAGCCATGTTGCTTGTATGAAGTGAATTCACAATATCAATCTGACAGTTCCAGGACTTGTTAAGGATAGTCAGGATTCACCTTGCAGATATTCAATGGAGCAAATGATCCCTCAGGTATGATTATTCTTCCTACTACTTACTACAATGTTCATAAGCATCCTACTGAAAATTGTACTAGAGCCATTATCTGATTTCTTCTGTGATTAGGGCACGTGTTGGAAATCCTGCTAGTTGACTGACAAGATCGGGTCCTCCTGTATTGATTTTGGAGTTCCAGAAGGCAAACTTGAGATTTTTGCCCTTTTTTTTTGGGTCAAGAGAGAATAGAACCTTACGAGAAAGGATGCAACTGAACTGAGGATAGAGTTCAGACCCCAAAAAAAAAAAAAAAATGAGGATAGAGTATTATTTTCATATAAACAAGTCATCACTGTTTTTTTCCCAAGAACAATTAATTGTGAACTTTTGCATTTATCTTATAAATCAACTATGTTTGTATGAACCCTGTTTCCTTCCATTTCAAAATTATCAAACCGATCCTACTACTGCATTCATAAATCAATTAACTTTCAAAAACAGTTTAGAAAACAAATGTTCTTTCATTGTAGATCCAGGAACGCTCAACCTTAGCTGAGTGCATTCGAAGCGGTATGTTGCGCCTAGGAAGTTGATTAGAATTGTCAAAATAAACCGAGAACCCAAAACCATACTTTAAAGTGAAATTCTAGCTTTCCCAGAACCCTAAGTATGTGAAACCCTAACAATAGGTTCGGGAGTAGTCCCAAGTGTGTCCAATGACCAAGACGGTCTCCGAAGACATCTGGTCAACCGAGCCAGCATGCCCACCAACTAGGTTAATTGGGCTCGTGGGGCCCACGACCTCCGATCTCTGATTCGAAACTTCCTATAGGTCAACTAAGGTCTACTGACTACGTCCCAAAAGTTTCGTTCTATAAAAAAAAAAAACTTAAAGTTAAATGGGCTGGTGCTTGGGATTAGGCATGGGCCTGAACACAACTCGTTTCATTGTGGACTTGGGCTTTAGGCAGGGCCGTGATCCATGGTTTTAATAAATGGGCACGTCATGACCCGATTAATTATATGGGCCGGCCCGACATGCCAAATAACTTAGTGGCACAACTTTAAATGGGCCACGCATTTAACACCTCTAGGTTGAACATCAGGCATGAGTGGACTTGGATATGCAAATTTGATCCGGCTTGCAGGTACTGGCCATCGCAGTAGGAGTAGTGGACTTTGGCCTGTTAGGCCATGCTTCATGGATCAATGTCGGGTAGGACCCACATGCGTGACGACATTTTTCTATTTAGCACAAGTAGACAAGGTCCTTAGCAACATATTGGGTCGTCAGACTTGTGCAGACTAGGCACAAGTTGGGCAGCTTAACGCACATGGTCAGGTCCGTAGCAGATACGGGCGTGTAAAAAAAAAAAACGGGTTGGTTTCTAAACACGCCGTGCAACATAGACCCCTTGTTCCTAGACCCATGAGCATGTTCCTCATATCAAGTCTAGCTAGACCCTGCTCTAAGTGATCATCACCACCATTTTTATGCTATGCATATGAATTTGATCGTAAGGCATTGTTTGGGGCTTTAAGGCAGTGAAGGTGTTTAAGGCTTGTTTGGAAGGAAGGAAGGAAGAGAGTGAAGTTGTGGTGCTGATGGAGCGAAGGGCAGTGCTAGTGGCAGTTAGAGGTAGGGGAGAGGAAGCCATGGCGGAACCTTAATGAAGAAATGATAATATCTTTTTTTGTCGGAAATGCATAAATGTACTCAAGTGTGCTTCTTTTATAATGGATATTGGCCGGCCTACTCACTTTAATTCAATAATTAATTATTTACACATCGAACAATGATTCATGTTTCGCAAAAGAACTTCTTTTGAAAATAGACATTCTAATCTAAAATATATCTTATATTTGCAACAATTGCGTCCTTCACCTCATTGTAGTTGTTAATCTTATAAAGTTAGTTTAATATGCTTAACATAAGTTGAAAAAACAAATTTAAAGTGAAAAAACATAACGTTGAAGAGGATGGTGCTTGGGCTCAGGCACGAGCCTGAGCACACCCCATTTCAATATAGACTTGGACTTTGACTTGGGCCGTGATTAATGATTTTAATAAATGTCCCAACATGGCATGGGTGATTAATTATATTGGCCGACCAACACGACACGAATAACTTAGTGGCACAAATTTAAATGTGTCGGGTAGACATGATCCTTTTAACACCTCAAGGTAGAACATCCATCATGAGTGGACTTGGATCTCCATATCCAACCCGAGTTGTTGGTACTCGCCATCGCCGTAGAAGGAGTGCACTTTGGCTTGTTGGGCCAGGCTTCACGGATCGTCGTGGGGTATAACCTCCATGAGCGTGGTGACATTTTTGTATTTACCTAAGTAGACAGGGTCCTTAGCAACATCTTGGGTCGTGAACCTTGTGCATAGTGGGCCTAGGTCAAGCAACTTGAAATCAATGATGGTTTTGGTGGTGGGTGGGCAATAGTCGATAATGGTGGACATGTCATGCTTTTCAACCCTGAGCAGTGGTGGAGCCACTCCTAGCCCTAGCCCTAGCCCCTCCTGATATTTTTATCTCTCCTATATTATATTATATATAACACATAGAATTTGTAATAAACAATTTATAATATAAGTTATAGTTCCCTCTAAAACAAATTAGACATGATTAAATTATAAATATTTAGCTCTAAACATGTAATTATTGAATACTTAAGTGTTTTATATACTTGTATTTTCTACTTTGCCCCCCTAGCCCTTGAGCCCGAACATGGCATCCTTACATATTTGCACTAATTACATCCTTCACCTCATTGTAATTGCGTATCTTCTAATGTTAGTTAAATATGCTTAACATAAGTTGAAACAAAAAAATTTAAGTAAAAAAACTCAAGGTTAAATGGGCTGGTGCTTAGGCTCAGGCATGAGCTTGAGCACATCTCCATTTCAATGTGGATTTGGAATTTGGGTGGGGCTGTGATCAATTGTTTTAATAAATCGCCTAACATGGCACGACCCGATTAATTATATAGGTCGGCCCACATGAGATGAATAACTTAGTGACACAAATTTAAATGGGTCAAGTCGGCACGACCCTTTTAACACCTCAAGATAGAAGATCGAGCACGAGTGGACTTGGATCTCCATGGTACTCGCCATCGTAGTAGGAGCAGAGGACTTTGTCTTGTTGGGCTAGGCTTCGCGGATAGTCATCGAATATGACTCGCATGAGTGTCATGATGTTTTTTGTATTTAGCCAAGTAGAGAGGGTCCTTATCAACATCTTGGGTAGCAAGCATTGTCAATAATGGGCCCGGGTCGAACAACTTGAAATCAATGATGGTTGTGGTGGTGGGTGGGCAACAGTCAATAATGATGGACACGCCATGCTTGTAGCAATTGCGTCCTTCACCTCATTGTAGTAATTTATCTTCTAATGTTAGTTTAATATGTTTAACATAAGTTAAAAATAAAATTTAATTAAAAAAACTTAAAGTTAAATAGTGCTTGGGCTCAGGCACGTGCCCAAGCACATCATGTTTCAGCGTGGACTTGGAATTTGGGTTAGGCCATGATCAATGGTTTTAATAAATAGCCCAACATATCATGTCCATATTCTTATTCTCGTCGTAGAACAAGAACTCGGTGTCCAGCCAATCAGATTCTTTTTTCCTATGTATGTACCGCCCAGTTTTGATTTATAAATCCACATTCAAATGGTGGGAGTAAAATAGAGGACACCGATCCGTCGAGTAAAAAATGCCCATATCCTTTGGTCTGGGTCGAGTCACCCGTCCAGGAATGGATACTATTATGCGGTATGCGCTCGATGTTTTCTTCTCCGGGGTTCCGGTGGTCCCCAACGTTGTACGGCTCCCTATAGAAGAGCTGATGTGAAATGGCCTTGGACACCATCCTAATGAGATGCGTTTTGGAATTGATCGTAGAAGGAGGAAGTGGTATCAGTGAAAATCACTGGAATGTACATACCAGCTGGTGCATCCCAATTCCAGAAGGGTAAAGTGAAGGTGGGGGTCCCTGATGAGCTCCCCCATGATCTTCTCTGGCGTCCTTACATATTTACATATTGGGTCGCGAACCTTGTGCATATTGGGTCCAGGTCGAGCAACTTGAAATCAATGATGGTTATGGTGATGGGTGGGCAACAATTGATAATGGTGGATGCGTCATGCTTTTTAGCCTGAGCATGGCTTCCTTACATATTTGCTGCAATTGTGTCTTTCACCTCATTGTAATTGTTTATCTTCTAATGTTAGTTTAATATGCTTAACATAAGTTCTTTTTTTTTTATATATAAAAAAATAATAAGTAAAAAAACTTAAAGTTAAATGGGCTCATGCTTGGCCTGAGGCACAAGACCCAAGCACATCCTGTTTCAATATGGATTTGGAATTTGCGTTAGGCCGTGAACAATGGTTTTAATAAATAGCCTAACACGACACGACTCGATTAATTATATGGGCTGGCACGCACAAGATGAAAAACTTAGTGGCACAAATTTGAATGGGTCAGGTCAGTACTACCCTTAGACCTAAAGGTAGGACACTCAGCAGGAGTGGACTTCGATCTCCATATGCAACCCGACTTGTTGGTACTCGACATCGCAGTAGGAGCAGTGGACTTTAGCCTGTTGGGCCAGGCTTCACAGATCGTCATTGGGTAGGACCTGTATGAGTGTCATAACATTTTTGTATTTAGCCAAGTAGACATGGTCCTTAGCAACATATTGGGTTGCGAGCCTTGTTCATATTGGGTTCGGGTCGAACAACTTGAAATCAATGATGGTTGTGGAGGTGGGTGGGCCACAGTCGATAATGGTGGATGCATCAGGCTTTTCAGCTCGAGCATGGTGTCCTTACATATTTGCACTAATT